CAGTTTTGTTTGCTTAGGCGGACTTCGCTGCGTAGCCAGCGAGACACACAGAGATAACCATCGATCGCTCCAACGCCTACGGTTGGCCATGACCTTCAGCACTCAGCGCGAAGTTAGCTGACAGCTAACGAACGCCGGAAACACGTTGTGGCTGTCTGTACTCATCTCGCTCGATGATCAACAGCCTCATGTCGGTGTGTCTTTAGAGGTTAGGCTTTTTCTCAGCTGAGCCCTGCACTAAATCACTCGTCTGCCGAGAATTCCATACGTCCGCACCACTAAGGTGAGAGAGAAATTCATGTCTCTGCACGCGCAGTAGCATGTTGCGAATTTCGCTAAACATTGGATGGCTATTGGATGTTGGGGACAACAACCGTAAATGACCGGCGTTCACCATAAGCGAGCCACGGTAGGTAAATGAACGCTAATCGGCCTTCTTTCTTAAGATTAACCGTGGTTGTCTATGTCGCGGAAACATGGATTAGGCACGAGACTTAAACTGTGTAGCGAAATTAAGCTACACGCCATACCCTAGTATTATGTCTCGCACGCAGTCACATGTGGCTACGTTACGCGGCCGTTATCACAAGCGCTCAGGGCTTGTTGCAAGTGTCCATCCAAATGTCCATGTGGCCGCCAGCCGTTTTCGCTAATTGGCCCCTGTTTCAGTGGAGCAGTGGATCAGGCGTTTGTCCTCACGTTTCAGTTCGCTTCACGCAAGCCCAACTTGCGAATAGATCCACATACGCAGCGCACGTTCGGCTTGTGTCTAAAGAGTATGAGGATCGCATGCATGACCTGCCGGCAGGTTTGATCAACGCGCTACACCTTCGATAGCTGCACAGTCCAGTCTGTCCACATAGCTGATGGCTTTGGCGATGCACACTGGCACAGCCATCAAAATTTCGATTGATGGCCGTAACCGCCACTTAATTACCCCGACAATATCCCGATCAATCTCATGCTTTGTGCCTAACACGTGCAATGGCTACAACCGAATCTCATAATAGAGCCTTATTTTCAGACTCGCCCCTCTATCGCTGTGACGTGTCTCATGCGCTGTGCGCAGCTTGCTCGCGGTATGACCGATGTACATATGTTCACAGTTGTTACGGCTACGTTCGAGAACATAGTTATCTTACCAAAGGGAGGAGCAGCTTACAGATGCACCAGTGTCGAACGCATTCTGCACATTGTTCCTGGGTTACTGCGCACTGTGAGACAAAGAAAATACGTTTAACCTAAAATTTTCTTGCCATTCAATCCGTGGTATGTTTTCAATGTGGCTTTAAACTATTGTGAAATGGGTGTTTCAATTAACGCTTTTCTGGCCTCCACTGTTCAGCAATTGCGCGGTTGTCAAATTCCAAGCGGTGTTCCCACCTTCTTACTCTGTTTCGCTGAGTCTTGGCTCTGTGAAACACAGCTGAGTTGATCCCAACATACATATGCTTGCGCTGACCGGAACCGTATTGAATTATCGAATCTGAATCTACCAGTTGATGAAATATCGGTTTTTATGCTAACCATTCTCACGAACAGAGCAGTCCAGAAGTGGCATTGTGCCATTGCAATTAGCCTACTACATAGTGAGCGATTTCAGGTGCCTCACAAAGTATCTTTTTCCCATCAATTTTTGTCTCTACAAATGTGTCATCCACTGGTACGAGCAATTTTCCGGCCATTCACTGGATTTTGCCAGTGCTATGTACAAAATAGTGGATATTGACGACCTCATGGTAACATACTGTTTCCGAGTGTTTGCTTACTATTGTAACATGGGCTGACACTAAATGGCGCAATACCTTTCTCTCAGGTGTTTCAACCACCTTGTGTCTCGACCACTCCCCAGGTCAGTCAAATAGCGTTTCATCCTCTCCAGTGCATCGCTTTTCGGCACATTGGTGAAGAGCGCGCAAACGTCAACACAAACCAGTATTTCATCTTTCGTTTCATACGAATTCATAGGGATCTTTTATAAATGTGTTCGCTCGCGCTGTCAACATCTGCGGTATGATAACAATTATCTACAAACCAGTAAATGCAAGCTGCTGCTAACCTGTCAGCCGTATCACAAGTAATGCGGTACCCTTTCGCAAAGGTCACTACGGTACATCGTGCACTGTGGTGCAAATGCTGATAGTCAAATCATTAAGGCCGATGATGCGCTGCATTCAACAGCAGTTAACATGTTTTTCGACCACAAACGCCGCATCTAACGCCTGACACATTGTTTGATGGTATTGCGCAAGGAAACACCACGCAGCTTGATTGTTTCACATAAACAGATAAGTGGCTGCAAGGTTACGCACAGCATCCGTAACTGCCACCCACAGACGATTACACACATAAACACCGCTGAGGTCATACCACGTGAGGTTGACGAACATGCCTTCTAGCTTGCGTACAGCTAGCTTTAGTGTAGCTAATCGTTGCTGAGTTTCAGTGACGAGACCACGTCATGTTCGGTGCAGTTGCCCACGAGCATGGTGAGCCCTGAGAACGCGAATGGAGTATCTCGAGTCGGTTTTTCGCTCATCTACAGGTCCATTGAGAATATGGGGCCGAACGAAGTTCATGGCGTCGGGCTATGAAAATACAAACGCACCGCACGCGTGTATTCCCTCTACCCCAAGGGTCATATGAAATGTTTCAGACCACCGAGATGACTGCTGAACAACTGTGTGTGGACAGACAGGCGCACGTTAGGCCAACCGACCGCTAAGACGATGGATCAATGTGAGCAGTGCGACAACGATGATCGATAGCGTCTTATGATGACGCACCAGCATTTGGTTGGCCACGCCAAAGCGGGTTACTGCGGAGAATGCTTGCTGTTTTGAAACGATGTGAGCGATGGACCACGGTGAAGCATGACCCTCCGTGACATCTGAGCAACCTGTTACAATGTGTGTCTAGTGGTCAGCGAGTGCTTTGATAGCCGCGTTCTGATGGATAGATTTCGAATATTGTTATAGCGTGCGCGCGTGAATCAGGTGGTCTATTGAATGGGCGCTACGCCGATGAACGGATTTGATTTGACCTCGGATCCTATCCTATGAATTGATAGCCATAGCAAACAAAGTTTGGTTTAAGACAAAGAATAGATTTGGCTAAAAACTATTGGGAATCATAACGAGGGGATTATTGAGCAGGACGAACTTATCAGATATTGTATTCGGAATTCTGTTTCAATCTATTATAAAAACCACTTGGTCTTCATTGGCATTCTTCGAGAAGGCCGCAGCTTGATCTTGAAATCTATCTAAAGAATTTCTAAGCCAACTGGCATGTCCAAAATTTCTTCGTTTGAGCCCACTCTGGTGGACATCTTATTCCGTATTTCACTTTTTGGCACTCTTTTTGCCATCACAAACCATTACGCATTACCTTCGTTACTCCGTGAGTTAAAATATATTCTTTAGTTTTCCAGTTAGTCCCACGCTCCTATCACCCTTACTCGCTGAACAACTGGAACGATTCGACCCCATTTATGACCGCTATACTAACATTTTATAACAAACAGTATTTTGTGTCTTTTAACTGCACTACGACAAACTTGCGCTGTAATAACATACGTACTCACTAGTTCTATAAAAGCCGAAATCTAACAACTATTTTTACAATGTCCACTTTGACTTCTGCTGGTCAAAACCCTTCAGTCTCTCCAATTATCACACCTGTGTCACTAAACTGCTCGAGGTTTGTCAGTATCTCGCTTGCTAGCAGGGACACGTTGTCCGACGATCTTGGTCGCATGACCACCGGGGGTTAGACACAAAGGTCTTCCATAGTTCGAATAGATATTAGCAAATTAATTACCTGATTAAAACTACCGAGCTATGCATGCACGAGTTTTCAAAACCTCCTGGCTTACGTTGTGTATGAAGAGGAATTTCATTACTAAGTGTGGTGGTTCAGGTTGATACATTCCGATTCATTGGTTTAAACAGCACGAAAGTGCCATGGTCAATCTGTCCAGGTTTATCACTAAAGTACTGTTCACATTGAGGGCTACCCCTTTTCAATTCCATGATATCTGTTTGGCAGGTTGCCTTTCAGGGACTTCTAAGCGTGAGTTAACACACAAGACTGCAATGCCGTCAGATACGCTGTTCGCTTTCTTTCGCATTCAAATACAACCTACGAAGCGCTCGGCTACTTAAACCACAAGGAAGTAGTGATGCGGTTTGAAGAATACTCAGTAGCTTCTCAAACAGTTGTACAGAAGCGCGGGTTGATGATTACGGCATGCCTGAGAGAAGTAGTGCTGTCGGGCTTTACGGCTCGAAACCACCTCCTGCTTTGTGAATAAAGATTCACAATAATAAGCTTGAAGCATTTGAGGTTCTGTTTTAACATTTTTGGGTTTGAATGAGCTGTGTGCCAGGTAACTTAGAATCTCCAACTTGCAATCCATCTATTAATCGGAAATCCAGATTTAGATTTTGAAGCCATATTTATCATTTTGATCGTTATCTAGTGAGAACGTTACATTCGGGCCTCAGCATCACGTTTTTCCTGTCGGTTCTCGCGACTCGTATTGTCCTGACTCAGGACCTCGGAAGAGACATGAGGAGTTCGTGCCATCAATGAATTTAAAGTTACGATAGTTTCCTCGATATAGATATGGACTGATGCTGCTTAGCACGAATCCGCTTGAAATACTTACTCCTCTTGTGCGAAAGCAACTGGTTCCCATATATTCTCACAAGTTGTGTCCTGTCTTGTGGAGGTATGGCAACTTGTTACTGCACAATATATCTCATCCGCGCGTACCTATCAATTTCGATCACTCTTGAGAGCTAAATCCATTCTTACATGTTTCAGACCGTTTTCAGGTTAAGTGCGTATTTAGTGTTTAAATATGATGCCTGCGGGTCAGGTTAGTGTAACTCGAATTAAGTGAATCCCAAGACATTTAATAGACCGTAAAGGTGAATACTTGCAATTAGATTAATGAACCTAAAATGATGAGAACCATCATCCCGTGGACTTACTTCAAGTGGGGCGCTGATCTTCCTCGGATAATGTTTAGCCGCATTTACCCATACCAAATGTGCTGCGTTGCATGTGTTGTCAGGCCTCTCCTGAGAGGGTAGCTTGTCGCCACAGAAGCAAAACTGGCTTTTCCATTTTCCTGCGTAGACGTAGTTTTCTATGCCGCAGCTCTCCTCACACTCCCCGGAGGTAGCGTCAAGCTGAAGTCAAAAATGTTACGTTATTAGGACCCATTCATAAACACAGTGATCAGCGCGATTCGCAAACATTTGTCATCCGAGGCTACTCCATCGGTGTTGGCATATTCAACATAACCTTGTTTGAAGAGCAACGATTATTGAAACCATTGTAAGACATAGAGACAGACAGGTCTGTTATTGTAGCTACTCCACGGGAATCCGCGTGGCGACCACTTGTAGACCTGTGAATGAGTGTTTAACCTTTGGTACATCCTTGCACTCGTGTTACAAGTGGGTACATTTGGTGCACTTATGTTAACCCATTAAATGGAACAGAGTTGGAGCTTTATAAATGAATCCGGAAAAGAAAGTTGTTGGATTCCTTATTAGGTCCTGAGGTACCCAATGAGTGTGCAGGCATCAAATTGCTTAAGTTAACAAGTGATTTTGATCCCTGTGGTGCCGTCTGCAAAAGGAAAACGGTTAGTGTTGCAAGGCACGACGGCAACCACCTCACTGAGCCTTATATTTTCTGGTCACACAGGCAGAATTAGCTCGGATGACGGTCGAACCAGAAAAACGAGGTTTCTCGGGGTACGTCTTTCTACTCAAATACATGGACTGCTAAATACCACACTAGCATATAATCCGCCGTTACATTTGGCGTGTTGATACGTCATGTTACACTATGGATTCCCACAATGAACACGAACCATAAACTGACGCCAATAGCCACATGCAAAAGAAAAGGACAAGAATAAAAGATTTGATTTGCGCGGAAGATGAAAGTATTTATCCTTATAAAGTTTCTGGTAGTGAAGTCCTTAATCCGCATTACTCGACACAGCAGTGAAAACTATTCAATTCTGTGGGACGCAGTAGTTCCATCCAAAATGTTTCTTCAGTGAAATGACTTAGGTCGCAAACGTGGCTTTTTTCGGCGCATTAGTTAAACATTTCACGAATGGTGATTGCGTGCCAACGCAGACAGTTAGAAGGACAAAGATAAACAAGCTGTAAACATGGAAATAATAAAAAGCCGATAAGCTTCACAGCATTCTAACAGCAGCCGCCCACATTCTCTATATAAAGAGGTGCTAGATACGTGTGGAGCGGAATACATTTGGAGTCCATCGTTATGACGAAATACGCGATTCGCGTGCGTTGACAGAACCGCTCAAGCGTGTAATTGGTTTTTGCCAAGGTTTATCAAGCCGAAACCGGAGCTGTCTTACCGATTTCTTATCTGGCATACCCATAGCAAAGGGCAACGGTGAGGCTTTAGCGATCGGATCAAGACAGAATTATCGAGCATTTCCCAGCTCATGAAGCTGGAGATCAATGATCCTCCTGTAGATATATGATACCTTGCTTATGCGAACTAGCAGAAGCGCTTAAATACACAGTTCACTCTGTCTTCCTTACGCCAGTACTTCCAAGTGTTGTCCGTGAAGTGAAAGTTTGCGAACCGGAATCAGCCGAAGTGGAAAATGCCGCAAAGGATAGCCTAAAATGTCATTAAAGTTTGACAGCCATGAGGGAAGAAATGCATGCTCTAAACCACTTATTAGGCGCACATCAACACGGGGTGACGACATAAGTCCGATTTGGGGCATTCTAGAAAACCTCGATTGGATGCTTTTGATGTCTTTAGCTCGTTCGGATGTGGGTTACTGTTGTACCTGGCGACCCGTTGCCTGAACTTACAAAGCCGTCGCGCGGCTGTGGTCATGGACTTCACTCTCACCCACTGCTCAGATGTGGTTCACGTGTATGAGGTCGCCGTTCATGTGGGACGTTCTGTCTGACACTGTCTTGCCAATGTCATGTGACTTAACACTTGGTCAAAACACTGTCCGGTGCGGTGACGTTTTATCTGACTACCGTACGCCACATCGACCGTGGCGAATTCAGAAATTGAGATCTAACTAGGCGTAACTTTACTTTGTCGTTCATATGAGGGACTACCACAGTTAATTTAATCTGCCCGACGTGTTTTTCAAGACCTCTTAGGCATGCTAGCGTGAACGAGATCTGAGTTGCACCATTTGAACCTTCATACGCTGACAGAGATAGAAGTCAGACGTGTAAACAGGGCGATAAGTTTGTCTAGAAGGGTAATACCACACGTGGCATCTAGCCACAGCTGTCGAATGGGTAAATTTGAGCGGTGCTCAGCAAAGCAAATACCGACGGCTGCTTGCAGTTCATTCTTGCAGTGGAACTTAATTTTTAGAAGAGCAGATCGATTAGGAAATTACAGTTGAATTGACCACTGTTCATAAATGTATGCCTTAAGCAATAAGGCAGTGGGCGAATCATTGGTACCTTGCATGTCAAACAGTTGGTGATTACTGCATGTGAGGCAGAGATTGGATGTGGTGGTCTTAACTTGGGAGGGTATGCGGTAACCTGCAGTCTGGACAATGATGCTCAAATTAACCTTCTGAAAACTTCACTTAAATCGCGACTTTATATATATATATATATATATATATATATATATATATATAAATTCTGGGTGTTGACTCCAACAGCACTTCGAATTCCAAACTCACTTCCTTCTTGATTGAACTCACTTCACTTAGCTGCAGGATCACACGATTATGACATCACTCCTTGAACAAACACATTCTCACGCTACGTAATTATAAATATAAATATATATATATATATCAAGATAAATCAATTTTTCAAAGTCGGTCTTCGTTAAGTAATGCACGGCACTGAAAGCCAAGCCTGTAACTGATCTACGTTGGAACAATGAACAATGATTTATCACGGGAGTAATGTAAGCGCTTGACACGTCCCCTAAGATGGTTGCGGTGAATATGATGAAAACAAAATATATGTGGGTCATCTACCGAACATCTACCGAGATAAAAACGTTGGTAAATAGCGCTAGCCGAGAATAAAAATTGAACGTAAGCATTCAGAAATACATGAGGCGCAATGCTGTTTGCTGCAATGTGAGCAAAGTAACATTTGGTCACTCACTTATGCGCCGCGTTCTTGGGTCCATATGGCACATAAATCCTGTAGAAGGGCACGCTTAACGTAATCCCCAATGGCGCAGTCTAGGTAATAAAGTGTTGGGAGCGCAGAGCAACATCCAATCGTTTTTTGAAATATTCAAGGTTGGGGAGGATACAACCGAGCCTGGGAGTACGTTCCAGGGTTGGCAAAGCCGAAGAGAAAAACAATTCCGTCGACAATAGACGTCTACATTGTTCCCACAATTTTAAGCAGTTACCCTTGAGCTGCGTGTTGGGGCTATGTTTCAGCAAATGTCGGCATACGTGGTTAGGGTCACTCAATGTTTAGTATGCTAATATGAGATTGCGGCGCAGCCTTCGGTAGCCTCCGCTGCAAATTCCCAGCAACTTCAGCCTTGGTGGTAAGATTGATAGCACAGGCCCTTTACGTTCTTTGTCGTTGTTCGTTGTGGTGTCTCTAACGCCTCTAGGTCGCGCTTCATTCAGGGTTGCTAAACTTGGATAGCGTATTCTACGTGTGGGCGCAAGTCGAAATTACGCATAATTGGGAAGATTGGAGGGCCAAATCTCCCGAATGTCTTTCGAAGCATGTCGATGTGCTGGTTGCCCCTTTTCGCAGCTACCTCAGCCTGTTTTGAACAGTTGAGGTCGATCTGGACGAACGCACCAAGATCACGTTCATGAGAGCTGGTTTGTAATCCGTTTGTCCCAAGCACATATGTGTACTTATGTCTATGGCGTAATTGTACAACGCGACATTTGTCTACGTTTAATGGTAGGACGTTTTGAACTGACCAGTTCGACACTGTGTTAAGATCGAACTGGAGCCTTTGGTGGTCGTCCGGTTCTCTGATCATTCGCCATATCTTGAAATCATCCGCGAAAATAGGAAATCGGAAGCAATTAATATCGCCACATCGTTAATGAACACTAAGAATAGACGAGGCTCAAGCATGGAGTGTTGTGGTACACCACACTCCCCCTCGTTTGCATCGGACAGTGATTCTCGGACTCTCACCTCCAGCCGTCGTTCGTGTGGAAAATTGCTAATCCAACAGGATTGGGTCGCCAATGTTGTAGTTCCGTTGCTTCTAAAGAAGAATTCGATGGTCTAAGCGATCAAACGCATTTGAGAAGTCCAGGTAGAAGACATCGACTCCTGCTCTATCATTAACGGCTTCAGTCCAGCTATTACGTGCAATCAATAGGTTATTAATACATGAATGCTTTTGAAGACAGCCGGGTTGGTCTGGGGCTATTAAGTTGTGGCTTTCCAGATAATGCATCAGCGCATCTGCGATGACTGATTCCGTAACTTTGGATAATACAGGAAGTAGTGTTATTGGACGGTCGTTGGTAGAGTCTGTGAGGCTGCCTCCTTTATGGATAAATGACTCCTCGTTTTCATCCTGGCGGAATATGGTTCTTCTCTAGACATCGAAGGTAAACAACAGCCAGTGGTTCTGCTAGATCACTAGCTACGACCTGCCTTTGGTTGGATGTTGTCGACTCTAGGAGAACTGTGGATACGCAAGGATAACAACTTCTTCAACACAGCTTCCGCAGTGAAGGTGATATTGTATAATCCCAACGGTGGAGTAACAAGAACGAAGCGAATAGTTGAGCTGGGTATCTGTTGGAAAGCTTTGAAGTAATGAAGTAGTAGGAGATCGGCTGCTTCCACTGATGACCGTGTGCATCCATCAGCCTTGAACAGTGCTGGAATTCCGCGCTTCACCTTTCGAAGACCGTTAACGTGTCTGTACAGAACTTTGCGGCTCGTGCACGATGGCATCATTAACTCCTGCTGATGCGTGATCTTGTGCTGGCGGATCAGTTTCACACAGCTGTTGCGATGTGACACGTAGGCAGACCAGGTTTCGGTATTCGAGCAGTCCTTTTGAGCTTGTCATGCCAAATTCCTCAGGAACACATAGCTACGTGTTCTGCTTCTCAGAAAGGACTTATATTTGCTTCTAAGTTGGAAGAACTTTTCCGTTGCGTGCGCTAGCAGTGTGATAAAGGTCCTCATAAAGGTTTCCTAGACAACATCCGGAGGGTATTACGTTAAGAAAGTCCAAGACGTAACCTTAACAAGCGTAGATAACATGTCATAGTGTGAGATAGTACTCACTTTATCGTCTTCCTTTTCAGGATTTTCTGCATAGTATAGTGCTCGCTTGTGACGCATCGATTGGAAACTGCTAAATTGCGTGCTCTTGGTTCATTTGGACTAATCCCCTCTATCCTCTCTCCATCTGCTCGCAGTATTGTCACTGTACGCTCATTCGAACGGGATGTACCACCACTACACAGTGATCCATTCTACTTGGAAATATCTTCTACGATTAGAGGCTGCGCCATCACTAACCGTTTTCATTGGCATCCGTGATTAAGCGCAAGCGGTTAACTCAATCACATTGAGCCGATTGCCTTTCTGTGTGGCAGCATTCGATATAGAATTCTCGAGGTAGGCCGAAAAGCTCAAGCATATTCCGATCCAGCGTTGCTCAACACAGCTGTGAAAGAATTCGTGATCTCCCAATCTGTGTTCAGCGCTGTGTTCAGATTCAGTTGTCAGTTCCAGTCACTCGTCATTCCTTGTGACCTTGTCAGCCAGCGCGCCTGCATACCCATCACACGGACCGCGCGACCACGTCGACCGCTCATTTGACCTTGCAACCACCACGCTCGCCTGACCGATGTGCGCTGCTCTCAAAGCTGGAAAGGTACGGGACTCTAACCAACCCACTGGGTCAGGTAACGACACCAAATTGAATGGCAGAAATGCGAAAACGAAAAGTCTCCAAGCGAAAGGCATTTGCGGGTTAGGAGAATGTCATCGAGTAGTAAAAACCGGTCTGGCTTGCTCGCACTGTTTGGAATGGTATCATACGAAATGTGCAAATGTGTCCCAACAACAGGTACGGGAGCGAAATAGCTCCCAAGATGCATTTTGGTTCTGTACTGCTTGTTCCACCATCCACCTCATTAAGTGCTTGCTTATTCTAGCTGAGAAATGCGACCGGTTAACCGCAGAAGCAGAGCAGAGGATGAACGATAAGATTACTTCAATGGAAGCGAGTATGCATCACAGAAGCGTAGCGGCTTCTGAGCAATGGAATGCTGAACAATCCGCTTCCGCTGAACCGCAGTCAGCCACATCCCCATCTCCGTTGTTTTCTCTAAAGTTGGTAGAACGCCGGGCGAAAACAGACCGTACCTACGAGAGTCAAACAGTACTCACGGCAACGGAAATCAGGCACCACACGAAACGTCTGCATAAGTAAATTCCACTAGACCTGACATCTAGCATTAACAAGGATGAAGCAGTCGAACACCAACCCTCGGCACCTGTTGCTCAAATGTCTCTTGTTGAGACAAAGCCCCGTAGAATATCAGTTACATATACAGAGGTTGCTGCAAAGCTCCACCAAGTGGCCGCAGTTGCGGCCTGTTCTATTGGAAACACCGTTAACGAGAATAGAGGGACAAACAGCAAACAACCAACACTTGTCAGCAGTTCAGGACAAACGAGTACGATACGTTGTAGATCAACGGAAAAGGGATCCAGCAATAGTGCCCGGACTGTTGTATGCTCAAATGTCCCTGCATCTAGCGCCATCACATTACGAGGTAAGTTCTCGTACGTCCAAGACCCTTGGAGCTAATGGTGCGCGCAGATGAGTTTCAGAACCAAGCCCATAAACTTATTATCAAGTACAGAAGAGTAGTAGAGGGAGTTGAATTGTATACATCGAAACTCGGCACATCTAGACTCACTCAGACAGCCGTCACACGCCCGGAAAAGCATTGTACGCGCGTTTCATCCTTTCGGGAATCGTCAGTAGTGCGCATTCCATTGGACCTTGGTAGAGCTCGAACTCGCAACTCGACTGTTACCAGTCGGTGGTTGAGACCACTGAGCTACAGGGGACAGCAACGAGCATCGGGAATAAGTTACTAGATGTGATATAGCGCCGCTCACTATCCACTGACTTACAAGTTAGTGCCTTGCAGAGGACAGGGTAGCCCCCTCACCGAGAGAAGAGCTTGCCAAACTTAGTTCGCCAAGGTTCCGGGTCATATGATGTCATTGGTATCACGGTGAAGTGTTTGCACACGGGAAAGACGGGCGCTGAAGTTTCGCTACCAGGCATGTTGCTGATCCAGAACAATAGGCTCAAGGAGGAGTGGTAATCTTGTATTACCGAAGCGATTTACAGTGCGAAGTCGCGGAGGATTCAGACTAGCAGTTTCCCGACTCGCTTTGGTGCCACTTGCAGTTAAAAGGCAGGGATGCTTGCCTTATTGTCTTGGTGTACCCCCCTCACTCTATACTCAAAAACGACTACCACCTAGCGGCTGCTTTAAGATGTAGTTTACAAGGAAACTACACTCACATACTTAACATGGGTGATTTCAACGTAGATGGTTTAGCAACTCCTGCCACGATAGGAGAACAATTCAAAGCCGATCTACTAGATATCGTAACCAGTGTTCCTGTTTACAAGCACATCACTTTGCCCACTCGGTTCAGAACTGGTAACAGGCCTTCTGTGCTGGATGTTGTGCTTAACAACGAGGAGCATATGATTGATGTATTGGTTTTAGACTGCCCGTTGGGTCGCAGTGATCAAGCAGTCAACAGTTTCAAATTCGTCTGCACTGCAAAATATCGGAATGAGAACGATGAGACTGTGCGAAGCAATCACAAGCTACGATCGATTGGCCCAGCTCGTCAGCCTCACAGCTTGGTCGTTCCTTGACGAAGAAACCCCGGAAGTCGCCTGGCTCGAGTTCGTCAAAAAATTCAGTCAGGTGATTGCAGAGCCTTCTTAGTTAAAAGTTTGCAATAAGTGCAAATCAGTTTCTTCCGTTAAGAGTAGAACTCGAAAATAGACAACAGTAAGCAAAGCAGTATCGCGAGTGGAGAGAGACGCTCCAGCACAAGAAACCTTGGGACAACTACGTAGCCCAACATAAACAATGCAGTCAACTACTAAGAGAAGACAAAAACCGCCTATCAGCACAACCTCCCAAACACCTTCAGTGCTAACCACAAACTGCTGTACAAGCACGTCAATAGCCTAAGAAGGAGGTGTGGCTGCGCTTGATGTGCATTTTTCAAAGGTGCCTACCTGCATATTACCCACTACATCGTCCATACTGGCTCTAGGAGACAGTTGATCGTTGCTGGAGGGGAAGGGGTGCACGGTCCTTGCGGCGGTGCTAAGATAAAAGAGTGGTTCCATGCACTCAGTGTGGAGTGGACTACGGTCCAGCCACCGCCTTGTGTGCACTTGATTCTCCAAATACAGCGTTTTTGTGTTTGCCTGTGAAGGAGTGTGGGCCGGCTCCGTTGATGAAACGTGGCTCCCATCCACATGTCTCCCGGTCTTATTCCTTCGGGTTTACACTGGATATGTGGTGTGTAGATGGAGCTGTGGGTGGTGCAGCGCAAGCCATCCATGGTCTCTCTGTAGGCGCGGGCGTCCTGTGACTGGCCACAGTGACAGGCAAATTCGAAACCGGATGCCGCCAACCATACTACCCACCAGCTACGATAGAAGTTGCTTGGAAGTAATTTAGGATTTTTGAACCTTGGTACAATATAGCATACCACTAAGTTCACCTACTCGGTGTGCTCTGCGTGAATTCTGAACTCATTCCTCAATCAACGCACACCGATCGTGTAAGACTTAATAAGAGATAACGTAGAAGGTTGCGTTGGTAAGTAGCGTGACGACTTTCGGTTTGAGATTTGAACGAGAGCACTGGTTTGTCCTCGCAACTATAGCGGTTTACTTGCAGTCGTTTCATCCCCATGCTAAGCAACACGGTCCTTTGTATTCGTCAAAGTAAATACTATCGTTCGCACAAAGTTGAGAGAAGGTCAGTATGGTGCATATTCAGGAGTGCTATTGCCTGAAAGTTAATTTGCTCAGAGCCGCAAATCAAACGACAATAGGAAGTTTCTAAAAAAAGGTAGCCTGAGTGCAGTCACGTGTACGGTTCACAAACAAAAATTTTGCACTATACATCCATTTGAATTGACTGAAGTGACCAAGAATGAAATACTAGCGTATTTGCTAAGTACGAGTTGATACGTAATTCTCTTCACCTTTGCTAGCGCCCATAGCATTTCCTTTTAAGCATGGCCGGTACGATACACATTCGCAGATCTAGGTGAACAAACCGGATCGATGTGTGTTTACCGTCGATGGCCTCTTCGAAATCTGCGAGTCCATTTCGCAGACTGAGTTTAACACAAAACCTACCGCGTTTATGTACTGAGCAGCTTTGGTACACAGTCTAGCCCTGCCATTTACACGAACGCGGCTGTTTCAAGTACCAAACAACTTGCTTTAGGTGCCGCCTTAGTGGTGCGTGATCAACTTGGTATCTGACCTCCTCAATCAGTACAACACAGTGTGAGATTAAAGCGGGAGAACCAGTTATCATTTTAACTGAGGATAAGGTGAGTGGGGCACATTACTACAAGGTGCATAACTCACCCTGAAGAAGCAACCCAAATCTTCGATTCCATACTGTAATGCAAAGTTCATCTTGTGGAGATGCATTCTAACGAAATTTGTTGTTCTGATACTAAGGACTCTGGTCTGATGTTTATAACCACCTTCTCTAGGATTGCGAAGTGAGTATTTGCGACATTGCTATGGTAACAAAAGGAGTGGAACAATAGCGCTCCGTTCAACTCAACGTACATCTTACCCAGTAAGTATCGTTTGTCGTAACACGTTAGTTTACATGTGCATTCACATCGCCATTGAATAAACGATTACAAATCTGGTCCGCTGCTGTTGTCATGGCACCGACATTGTGCCATTGTACAATGAGCAACCTGCCCTAGTGGTTGATACCTTGTTGGTTGATAATCGTGGGATGATCCAGATTGTGTTTTGGTAAAAACCACAATCAATCTAAAACAAAGCAACATTGTTGGAATGGCTGCGGAAATATACAAATTATAAAATACGAGCAATGAAGTCACTTTTCGGCATGTCTAACACTGACGTTACAATTCAAGGCGAACCATGAATGAAGTATCTTCTTGGGAGCGCGTAAGCAATCCTTTTAGACACAAACTTTATACAACTAACGGAGACTGCATGATTGGCAGACGGGGCAGTCAAAAAATATCTTCCTCAAACTGAAGCAAATGTTTTCAACCGAGAGACCAGTTGCAGCTCTAGGAATATTCGCGGTTAACTTTGATAATAGGAGCCTTGCCATCTCATGTACCGACGTTCGCACAACATGTCCAGGCTATTACCCCAGACGCCAAATACCGCAGCCATTCTAGCTTATAAAGTAGTAACTCGAAACCAGCAAATAATCTTGCATATTATCATTGTGATTTACGTTAAGGTAAAAAGGTTCATAATTGCAAAATACAATAGCTTATCTATCATAAAACGCGGCGCCGTCAGTAAGTCCCGAAGTAGTCGGCTTCATTTTGAAGCTTTTGCTTCTGAGACCCGGTTCCCAGATGATACCAGAGTGCTATCAACTTATTCCAGGTAGATCGACCACCTCCCTATGGACTAAACTTGGCGCCTTCAATAGCATGCCAGAACCCAATTGCGAACAACGACCGCTCATACCCAAAGAATGTCATCAGTGAAAATTTCACCGGGTGTTCAACTTTCCTGCATTCTTATTACTGGTCACCAGCCTAGAGTTTCTTAGACATCGCGGAATGTTGATAGATGCGAGACACCATTGGATAGTCTACCCTGCAATAGGGTTACCCAAACGCGTTACCAACGCTGCAATCTAAGTTGTCACTTGATCCACGCTGTTCAATAAAACTCCCTAAACTGCACTGAACCTTTCTTCCAGTATACTAAGGACATTCAGTGAATGAACATCCCTCGCTGTCACATCTCTAAAGTCACGCAACACATCCGGACTACTAAACTTAGTGCGACCAAACTGACTTTTAGCAAAGAAAATTAAACCGAATAAATTGCAGTTTGAGTCTACGTGCAAATGGTGATTATTGGCCTGTCAGATAGCCAGTGGCAATCTTTTCCTAATCTAGATCAAAAAATCCAAAGATCGGTACTCTCGTGGTGCTCACTGTGTACGGTCAACCAGTCAGTGATCCCAGACAGATGCTCCATCCCACACATGTAAGGTTTAACTTCATGTCTACCAGGTAAAACAACCTTCGGCAAGATCAATTTTGTTCATGCTCATCACCAAATGCGTGGCGAAGGAGGGATATTCCAAAAAATAGGTTAATCATATATTTCGGCTCATACGACCTCTCTAAGTATGCAGCATTGCACAAACATTCCTGTGCTTTATCAGCTACGTTGTTCCTGGTTTGAAACTTGAGAACCCCTGCCACAACCAAAATTCCACTGCTAGTTCATTTAAAGAACACATCGATCATCTTCGATCCCCCTCTAGCGGTTGACCCAAAATGGTGTCACCGTAAACTCGGATAAATATGAATTTGGAAGGGATGTGACAGAATTATTTGGCCGACTTATCTCTTCTTCCGTTTTTGAGATTCCTCCAGATAAGATCCAGGCTATCAATGGCCTCACTGTGCAAAAACCCTTCAAGCGCTTCAATTATTTTTTTCTATAGCCATTTATTGTGGGAGTTTCATCCATCATTGAGTTCTTCTCATGCAGCTATTGCTCGACCTTAATACAATCTAACCTGCTACGGGGGTCACCTGTCTATGGGAACCAGCCAAATCGTCCCCAACGTTATTCCTATAATTTCTTATTGGTCTTAACCTGCGTATCCGGTCCACCAGTCTAATGCAACCTCCACCACGCTTGGGTGGTTTCTAGACGTAGTAGCACCTGTAAAAGGCGACAACCGATAGCAGGACTGGCTGAGATTTCGTCTTGAGGTGTCATGAAAATCTGCCACCGTATCGGTCAGATGGCTTGGATTTTGTCTGTAGATGTCATACTTGGCCACTCGTTATGCTTATCTAGTCTGGGTAGCGAGACTAGACAACAGCAGTGCTGTGTATACGAGTGATTAATATGCCTGTGATTTGTTCATAATTGCACACGTTATCGATAAGTCCCGGGCAGCATAGTGAAACTGTGTGCCGTTTTTTAGTCATCCTAGGATTCGACCAGTATATTTTCATCGTCGTTGTCATTATCATCAATACGCGTTAGCTATCGTGCTGCAATACAAATAGATAAGACACCAAACTTTACAGGATACCAAAAGTTAAAAAACAAGTAATATAAGGCCAACGTCATATTATGCAATGAATGCCTGAATGTCACAACCTGGACTGATTACATGACAGCGCAAATTCTGTGTTAAATTGATCCGCCAGAACAATGTGATGCATCAGCAGGCGTTAAAGAAGTGATTTTGCAAAAAACGCTAACTCTTATACAAACATTTTAATGGCCTTCGTAAGATGAAGCGGGGAATCTCAGCAATGGGCACGGCTGATGGGTGCACATGGTGAGCAATGGAAGCAGCCGGTCACTTATGGTTTCCTTACTCACCTACGTTCCAGAGGGCACCGAGCTCAAACATTCGCTTCGCTTCTATTACTTCATCCTTAGGTTTATTCAACATTAGCTGCACTGCAAAAGCTGTGATGATGAGTTAGTTTTCCTTGCATACCCAGATTTACCTGAGTCGATAACATGCGGCCGAAGGCACTTCAGACAATAGCCAGTGATCTAGCAGAGCCATTGTCCATTTTTACTGGCGCTGTTTAAAGAAAAACACGTTTCCATCAATATGGAAGCGAGGGGTCGTCACTCCTATTCATGCGGGAGGTAGTTGCACTGACCCTACCAATTACCGTCCCATAACGCTGTCTTTTTGTCCTTTCCAAACTTAAGGAATCAACCATCGCAAATGCGCTGACGCAGGATCTGGAAAAAACAGCAGCATAATAGCCCACGGGCAACAAGGTTTCTGCCAAAACAGGTCACATCTTACCAAGCTTTCGATTACACGCAATAGCTGGATTGAAGTAGTTGATAGTGGAGCAGGAGTCGATGTCATCTACCTGGAGTCCCCAAAAGCATTTGTTGGCTTAGACCACCGAAACCTCCTACAAATCTTCAGAACTCTGACAATTGCAACGTACTGCTACGTTGCACAGGCAATTTCCTACACGAACCTCGGTTGGTGATGAGAGTACGGGAAACGATGTCCGAAGTAACTGAGATGGAGTGCGGTGTACCACAAGGCTCAGTGCTGGGGCACCACCTAGTCTTGGTATTCATAAACGATCTAGTGAAGACAATCACTTCGATTTCTATTTATTCGCGGATATAATCAAGATTTGGTGGGCGATCAGGGAACCAGATGACCACGAAGAGCCACAGCGCGACGTTAAAACGATTTCGAACTGCAAATAAAAATTGGGTGTTACCCGCCTGAAAACACTGCACTCCGGCGGGCAACACCCAATTTTTATTTGCACCAGCTACGGTCCTTGTGATCGAAAGTCCAAGGTTCACTTTAGTGGGAATCGCAGTCAACATTGAGATGGCGTTTCGCAATCCATCCACACAACGTGTACTTCAAAAATGACCCTCAAGATTTCGAAGTAGTAAGTTCAGAATACCTTACCATTCAAAATGGAAAAATATCGTGTTGTTTAATTAAGTCATAGGCATTACTAGGTCAATTGGCCTCGGTCACACATATTGCAATCTACGTTCCAGGAACGGGATTTTGGTGGGCACATAACAAGTGACCTCAGCTGTTCAAGACAGTTTGAGGCAGCCACGAAGAGAGGCAATCAGCACTTCGGACTGCTGCAATGGGCATTCGGCAGATTTCACCCTTCCAGCTTCCCAATGATGCACAGTTCCTATGTGCGCCCTCACGTTGTGCACGCAACCCAAGCTCGGCAACATTGGTTGCAGCGCGACCTGGAGGTGCTAGAGACAACATAAATCAGGGCATCAAAGAACATCAAGGACCAACGCAATCTGTCTTACCAGCAAAGGCGGAAGCTACTTGGAGTTTCAGTAGACTTTATCGGAGTCTACCAGGTCCCCTCACACCAAACATTGAGTGACCCTAATCACGTGTGCCGTCACTTCCTGAAACTCATTCATGACACCAACCTTGGAGGTAACAACTTGAAGCTGAATCGACTATACAGACATGTGGAATGTCGATGAAATTATCTTTTCTATTCGGGTCTGACAATTTTGGAATTCGCATCCGAACTCCGCTATCTCCTTTCCCAATACTGATAATTTTGTAAAACGGTTGGATGCTGCCCAAGGATCCCATCACTTGGTTACCTAAGCTGTGCTACCTTGGAATACAGTAATCATGCCTTCAAGTAGGATTTTTGTTTCATACGACCCTAAAGAGGTGCACCATGAGTGAGCGTTTTTGTTTAGATTTTTCTCCCGTAATATACCTCAGCAATAACTTTCCCCTGTGTTGTCTAGGATGCTTTTGCATTCATTTCTCCCTTTCATACTACCATTATTCAGCAGTGCATTTGCTCTACACAACGCTTAAACAAACTACACACAAATTTTTGATATTGTAGTTTTTACTCCAGCCATCTTACAGGACGTGCCAA